GAAGAAAATCTCGGAAACCCTCGACTGTAAACACTGCCCAGGATTTTCGCACCTACGACAACTTAACCGCACCTGCGGCTTTGCAGGTGTGACCAAAGCATCCGCTCCTGCGATTGGCTTTGCTCCTACGAACCAACATACCATACCTGTAGACTCGCTTCTGTGAGGGCACTGCCGCTTCTGCGGTGCCAACCTTCTTTCCCTTTTCCGCTTCTGCGCTCATCACTTCGTACCTGCGACCTCGCAGGTGAGTAAAATCCTTCGCACCTGCCACCACAAAATTCCTCACTCCTGACCGCATCTACGCATCACAGCTCGCACCTGCGACTAAATCTCCACAGGTGCGATTGCACCAGAAGATAGTTACAACAACCTTTCAAACTCCAAATTTGATCCGTTAACCATCTGAACTCCACCCAAGGCCCAGGGGACCTCAACCAAGAATACCATCAAGTCCTGAAACACGATACGAACTTATTCGAGTCCTCAATCACATCAAACAATATCAAAAACACAAATCGCACCCCAATTCAAGCCTAATGAAGACTAAGGAATTCCAACTTCTACGAGCGATGCCGAAACCTATCAAATCACGTCCTATTGACCTCAAATTTTGCACACAAGTCACATTTGACCCCACGAACCTACTCCAACTCTCGGAACCCCGATCCGAGTCTGGTGTCCACAAAGTGCACTCTCGGTCAAACTTCCAAATTTCTAACTTTCGCCATTTCAAGCCTAATTCCACTATGGACCTCTAACTCACAATCCGGACACACTCCTAAGTCCAAAATCACCCAATGAAGCTAACGGACCCATTGAAACTCCATTCCGGAGTCGTCTACACATAAGTCAACATCCGGCCAACCTTTTTAACTTAAGCTTCCAACCTTGAGACTAAGTGTCTCAATTCATTCCGAAACCTCTGCGGACCCAAACAAACTACCCCGGAAAGTCACATAACAACTTTAAAGCATAAAATGAGCAGTAAATTGGGGAATGGGGCTACAACTCTCAAAACAACCGGCTGGGTCATTACATGTATCCATGATGTCAATGACACCGGTAGCCTCCTTCGGGATAGGGGCGGCTTCCTGGGGGGCCACAACATCCATCTCTCGCTCTGGTTCCCGAGTAAGAGGGGGAGTGACCTCATGGTACTCTTTCTCGGTCGTTATCTGCTCCCCTCGTTGAGGGTCGACCCATGAGCAATCAAAAAGTCATCATCCTCGGGCTCGTCCCTTAGCCATTAGAGAGCATCGGGGTCCGGTACCCTAGACTTGGTGCTCCTTGTAGGCTTATGTACCCGGATGGTCACTTTCCTCTTCTTCACCTCGGCGTCTGGAGAACCTGAGGACTTTTTTTTCTTCTTCTTCTTCTGCTCCTTCTCGGCTGCCCCCTGCTGCCCCAAAACAGAGGGTTTGACAAGCGAGGACGGATCCTCGTCCTCGTCAACAGCCTAAGTTTTGTTTTCTTAGGCAAACCTATAAGAAAAGAGATACTGTTAGCACTGTTTAAGTTGAGAGCATGGTGGTAATTATTCAAGGAAAAACCTCACCATGAGAATAGGCCTCTATTTTACCTTTGAAAGCTTGCGCCATGTGCGCTCGGAGTACGGCATCTGCCTACAGATCCCCTCGATCTACTCCTTGAATCCGGGAATTGCATTGGGAACTTGGGCAACAGCAGTATGAAAGCAAACACATGCAGTAAGAGAAGGAATAAAAAGAAGTTAATACTTAAGGAAGACAACACTTACGATATGCATTTGAGTTCTCAGGGAACGGAAGAAACTCGGGAGGGATCAGGTCTTCAATTTTCACCAGAACAAACTTCCCCTGCCAGCCTCGGTCTCGGTCCTCATCAATGCTCGAGAAAGGAGCCTTGCTTGCTTGGTGGAAGATCTTGATAAGCCCCCTCAAAAAATTCGGGAACTATATAGGCAAAGTAGAGGGTCGAGGGTGAATCGAGGGTTTTCAGTATTGTCCAAAAAATGACGTAAGAGGATCGCGATCCTCCAAAATGATGGGTGCATTTGCCCAAGGCACACCTCGTACCTTTCGAAAAAAGCAAAGACTATGGAGTCCACCGGGGCCAACGTAAAGGGGTAAGTGTAAACACTTAAGTGGTAATATCATCATTGGGCCCGGGAACAACCACGTCCTTACCTTCCCATCCACAGTCCGCTCGGACTATGGGTAGGGTTTTTTCAGTGACGTAGTATATGTATCTCCATGCTCCCTCGCCTCGGTCTTGTTGACTAGAGGCCTTCTCGACCTTGAAGTAATCCCGATAGAGTAGCCCCTAGGTATGAAGCTCTTCATGGGGGGATCTTGAACCACCTTGGGGGCGGCCACTCGATGCCCATGGCCGAGTTGAAAGACGAGGGAGCCGTTTGTTGAGGTACGGACTTGGAAATTTTAACCATCATGATCAGGGAAAATATGAAGATTTGAAGAAAAACTATAAAGATTTGAAGAAAAAATATGAAGATTCGAAGGTGGGTTGAAGATATGAAGATCTGGGTTGGAAATCCAAGGAAAGTATATGAGGATTAGAGATGAAGATATGAAGGTTCAAGAAGCGATGTATGAAAATTTGAAAAAGTTAAAAGCCGTTAGAAAGTTCGAAGGTAAAATCTAGAATCAGAAAGTGAACGAAGTAAAAATGGTGGAAGATTTTATAGGGGAAAAACCAGTCAATTCACGACGTTTCACATTCGAACGCAGTCAGCCGGTGACTGACATGTGTTTGAAGTCAGAACGACGCGACTGATGGGACATTTTGGTTTATCCGTCACCACAGTTATAACGTACGAAGGAAGGAACCGGGGTTCATCTATCATTTTTCATCGTTTCGACAAACCTACTCTCCGAAAAACGAGGGACGATTTGTATATGGGTGAAATCGGGGATAACGTATACCCCGATTTCCCGGTGAAGAAAACGGAATGAGGGAATGAACATACGAGATTGAAATTGAGGCTAGGAGACCTTTATATCGAGATCCGTGAAAGTAAACGATGTGCTCACCGTCGAGCCTGATAAAGCGACCCACCCTGGACTCATGATGAGTTTTAAGACCTCGAAAAATACGATAAATGGTTACACACGGAGGATAGAGGGCCATGATATTCACACCCAATCGGATATCACGGCGCGGATCTAGCTCGATGTCGGTTACCGATCAGTAATTAACAGAAAGGAAGATTTTTACCTTTTTTAAACTTGTACTAGGGATGAAACTTTCCTACTATATAAAGAGGAAGTTTTTCTTTTATAAGGGACGTTGTAACATGCAAATCAAAGTAATACAAATTCATTCTCTGCCTTTTAGCTTCTGCAGAAGTTCTTATTTGATTATTCTATTCTCTATTCACAATTAGGTTCGAACCAAAGGTCCAATCGAGGGCAAAGTCACTGTTCAACCTAGGTTCGGGCTAGGCCATAACATTACAACTGGTTTGGTCGTTTATTCTATCTTTAACTTGTTTATCAATATTCTTGATTATTTGTGTTGAACCAATCCACGTATCCTTAAAACCGCGTACAAATTTAATTATCATCCGATTTTAAGGTAAACATGATCAACCAAAAAGTCCTGTATACTATACAACTTTCATGACTAAAATTGACAGGAATTATAAACTCTATATATAAACAATTCTTCTATATAGTTTTTTTTTTTTAAAAAAAAAAGTTGAATTAACCAAGTGATCTCACTCTATTAGGATGCTCCTAGCTAGATATAATTAGTTACTGCCAAAGGATGTGGTGCAGCGGATGGAGCTGCTTTTTCCTTAACCAGAGGTCTCGGGTTTGATCCCTGAGTATGAAAAAATCCTTGGTCGAGAGCGCTTCCCTTCGAATGGAGCCCTACGCGACGCAAATCCAAATATAGTTGGATTTCAACGCGGGTACCGAACATCGAACGAGAAACCAAAAAAATATAATCAGTTCGTCCACCACCTTATATGATGCTATAGGCGTAAGTTCATTCCATTAGCTAATGTGTTATTGCGACATGCACCGTTGCACTCACAATTAATGAATTATATCCGGAAAGCAGAGGCGGAGCTTAGTATATATTGAGTATTGGTTCGGCTGGGCTAAATAATTTTTACTTAGATTATGTATTAGTATTAGAAAGTTAATTAAATATGTATAAATATTTAATTATAAATCCAGTAATTAAGATGAACTATGAGTTCGTCGACAAATAGAGAAATCATAAACTTCAAATTCTGACTCCGTTGTCACATAACGTACTTCTTAATATTGTTATCCGGGGAATTGAATGCTGTATCCACCATGCCAATTGCCAATAGCATAAACATGATGAAATATGTAATTGCCCTTCTATGTGCTCTCTATTTCAGAAAATAATGGGAATAGGCAATCATTAAAAGTATATCCAACTCCAGAATTTGACTACATCCATTTACGCGTATCACCGCCATTAGAAATATGTTTATATATACATGAACGTTATATTTCATCCATCCATGTAAATTAGAAATTGATCAGAGAACTTCTAATACCAATAAAAAATGCTTATAGAATGATATTTTAATGTAGTCTACATAAATAATACTATATGTATTGTAAACTACTCTATAATTCACACCATACTAATATTTTATAGAGTATGTAAATTATGGAAATATCGTTCCTTCAGTTGCATGAATATCAATGTAATACTTAGGTAGATTCCTGCCCCACTTTTTTTTTCTTTCTTCTCCACAAGAATACGAGAAGATTGTCTTTTAACAATGATAAAGCAAATAGTCTGGCATACTAATTAAACATTTAAGTATAATGTAGAGACTGGACCTTTAAATAGCCCCAAGATGTTGGTCTAGTAGTAATAGGACTGCAACATTTTATGATGGGTTCGAACTAGATTTGTTACAAATAAAAATCTAATGTTTATTTAAAGGAGAAGGGTCGTCGAAATTGAATGAAGTTATTATCTGCCAAATTTCGAACTATGCGATAATCTTCTCGAATCGGAACCTTCTTATAAATTGCAAAGAAAAAGAAGAGAATTAACATGCATGGGGCAGTTTTTTCTTTCGTCTAGATGGAGGGAATTTCAAGAAAATTAACCTCTCAATAAAATATTTATTGGAAAAAATTAATCACTTGTATCTTCACTTCTAAGCTTGTTGAGAAGTGCAGTAATAAGGGCATCTCTCTTCTCAGCTCTGGCTTCTTCTCTCATTTTCCATTGCTCTTCTCTTTCTCTCCATCTCTTTTCCATCATTAGCCTTTCATTTTGCAATGCCTCCATTTTTTGTCTCCATTCCATCTCCTTTATTTTCCTCTCTTCTTCCCTTCTTTCATATTCTTTTTGCCATTGCATTTCCATTTCCATTTGTTTATTCATAAACTCATCCAATATCTCCTTTAAATTCCCCACTAAATTCCCACTAGCAACATTACTGCTACTACTACTTGTTTTTCCCTTAAGCTTTCTTTTCTTTTTATTACAACCTTTTTCTTCTTCACTATCCTCATCATATTCCTCCTCTTCAACCTCCATTCTTAGCATTCTCTCCATAAAAATCGCTTGCAACTCGTTGTAAAATGGAAATTGTTTTCTTTGAGCTTCTGCTTCCATTGTTTCACAACCCTAAAAATACATATAGGACGAATAATAACTTTCATTTAAGAACGTTAAAAAAGTTATAGAAACTCAACAACCCTATGAATTTATTGAAGTCTCTTCATCTAGATGAAAGTCAAAATAAAATACCAAAATTTAAAGTAGCTTGTACTAATGAACATTCTTAGAAAAGAAACGTAGTAAAGAATCCGTCAATTCTCTTTTTTTGTTCAATACTCCTTTTCTATTCTATGAAGTAACACTTTTCATTTTAGTATTACGGGTTCAAGCCGTAGAAATAATCTCTTGCAGAAATGGAGGGTAAGACTGCGTTGGATAAACTCTTGTGATCCGGCCCTTCCTTGGACCCCGCACATAGCGGGAGCTTAATGCACCTGCCTTTAGTCTATGCGAAAAAATATTACACTTTTTTGTATTCAAATGTTATTTAACTTTAAACTTTTTATTTTTCTCCTAACCTCTTTATAACCATAAAGATCTCATGTCATGCGTGTTCAAAATCATAAGTTCTAAAGATACTTTAGAAATGTGTCATTTATTTTTTTATTTTTTTATTTTGGGGTTAAACTTCCTGCAAAGTTATTAAACACTGTCATATAAAAAAAATGAAAAGAAAATACCTTATAGCGAGTAACAAGATTCTTCCATTTGCATTTGCACTGCTCAGCGCTGCGATTGTAACCCTTTTCTTTCATTTTAGTGGCTATAACTTCCCACAGAAGCTTGTTGCGTTTTGTCTCCATAAAATTCTGGTCCATCTCTCCTCTAATCATCAAAAAATCCTTTGTTTCTTGAATACTCCATTGTGGAAACCTATCTCCACCCCCAACTCCACTTGTATCAATATTCAGTAAATTTTGCTGACTTACAAACTGATGTTGATGATAAAGATTAGGTTGACCCTCCATATTATTAACAACCCTAGATTTATAAATTATATAGTAGTATATGTTTGCTTGAACTTGAAAATATATAGAAGAATAAAAGAGTAGGTTTTACTTAATAAAATGGCAAGGAAACGAAAAGAAAAGATTAGGGGATAGAGAAGAAAAAAGGTTTTTTATATGGAGGAAGAAAAGAAAGGGCGGTGTGAATCCAATGTGTGTATTTGTCAAACAAAAATAGTACTATATATATACTATTTCTTTGTGATGGTACTTTTCAAGAATTCAAAGAGATAAATGAAATAGCTAGCATATATAAATCCATATATAGTATTTCTTTTCTTTTTTTCCTTCAAGGGGCTAGTCTTGATATCCTGTCCTCATCTCTCTACGCGGAAATTTATTCTTTTTCTTTCCCTATTTGTCAAATTAATTAATACAGTATCTACTGAATAAAGCAAAAACATTAATTAATTACTAAATGATATCCACATTTGTTCATATTGCGTCAAAGTATTGTCAAGCTGACGAAAGAAATAGAGCCCTTGATTCAGGTGGGGCTTTGGCTTTGACCAGTTACGTTGTACATACTTTTTCTACGTGCTTTCCATTGTTGATCTTCTCATGCATTTTGGATCGTACTCGTGTATTATTTGGCTGGTATAAAAAAAGTACGTAGAAAATTTGTAACGATACCGCGGTATCTTTTTATGTCATTGTTTACCTTTAAAACGGATAACAATTAAATTTATATGTGGTTTTAAGGATATGTGAATAGATTCAACACAAATAATGAAAGATATGAGAGAAACGAGTGAAAGACAAAATAAATAATCAAACCAGTTGTCCAGCTTGAACTTGGATTGGACAACAATTTTGCCCTCGATTGGATCCCCGGTTCGGAGCCAATAGAGAATGAATAACAAACAGTAAAGTAATAGCTTTGCTATAGCTAGAAGCAATAAAAATGAAATTGTATTGCCTTGGTATGCATGTTACAATGTGTCCTGTTGAAATAAAAGTTTTCCTTTTATATAGTAGGAGAGTTTCATCTCTAGTACATTTCTAAAAAGGGTAAAAATCCTCTTTTCTCGTTAATTACTGATCTTTTACCAACATCGGGCGAGATCTGCACCATGATATCCGGTTGGGTGCGGATATCACGGCCCTTTGTTAGTCGTGTGCAACAGTTTGCCATGTTTTCTGAGGTCTTGGAGCTCGTTCTGGGTTCCGGGAGTGTTGTCTTATCAAGTCCGATGGCGAGCATTCCATTCGGGCCTTGCTACAAAGAGTTCCCGGCTTCAATTTTGATCTCATATACTCTTAATCCGTTTGATACACCGGAAAATCGGGGTGTGCGTTAACCCCGATTTCACTCGTTTACAGATAGTCCCCTCGTTTCCCAGAGAGTAGCTAGGTTTTGCCGAAACGAAGGGAAACGATAGACTAACCCCGGTTCCTTCCTTCGTACATTTCAACCGAGGTGACGGACAAGACGAAACGTCCCGTCAGTTACGTTGTTCTGACTTCGGACATGTAGTGATCATCGAAATGGTTGTCTTTGAATGCGAAATAATGATTGCATTTTCCCCTATAAAAGCTTCAACCCTCTTTACTTTTTTCACTTTCTAATCCTAGCTCTAACCTTCGAACTTTATAACGGCTTTCAACTTTCTCAAATCTTCATACCTCGCTTCTTGAACCTTCACATCTTCATCTCTAACCTTCAAACCTTCATATTTTTACTTGGACTTTAACCCAGAACTTCATATCTTCATTTCTAACCTTCAAATCTTCATACGCCTTCTTCAGATCTTCATATATTTCCTAGATTCATGATAGCCAAAACCTCCAAGTCAGTACCACAGCAAACAACCCCTTCATCTTCCCACCCGGCCGCAGATGTCGAGGTGGATGCTCCCGAGGTGCTTCCAAAGCCTCCTATGAAAAGCTTCATACCCGGGGGCTATTCTATCGGGGATGACTTCAAGGTCGAGAAGGTCTCCGTCAAATAAGACCGGGCGAAGGAGCATGGAGATACATACGCTCTGTTATTAAAGATACCCTTCCCATAGCCCGAGAGGACTGTAAATGGGAAGGCAAGGCGTGATTGTCCCCGGGCCTAAGGACGATATTACTACCCACGTGGAGGGGTATTTAAGGGTTTACACTTACCCCTTCATGCTGGGCCCAGTAGACCCAGAAATTCTAGCCTTTTATAAGATGTACGAGGTGTGCCTTGGGAAAATCCACCCGTCCCTCTGGAGGATCGTGATCCTCTTATGCCATTTTGTGAAGAACACTGAGTCTCCTCGGTTCACCCTCGACCACCTAATTCGTTTGTACAGTCCCCGAGTTTTCCAAGGGGGACTAATCAAGCTTGTTCACCGAGCCAGCAAGGCCCCATTTTCGAGCATCGACGAGGATCGAGACCGAGATTGGCAAGGGCATTTTGTTCAGGTAAAAACTGAAGACCTGATCCCTCCTGGGTTCCTGGCGTTCCCCAAGAAGTGGAACACATCTCGTAAGTATAGTCTTTTCTTAAGTGTAAATTTCCTTTTATTTCTTCTCTTATCGCCAATATTTATGGTCTTGCAGTTGTTGCCCGGGTTCCTAATGCGATCCCCCGGCTCAAGGAGTGGATTGAAGGAATTTGCAAGCAGATTTCATACTACGAGCGCATGTGGCGCAAACTTTCGAAGAGCAAATGAGAGGCCCAAACTCATGGTAAGGCTCCCCCTGAATAGTTATTACAACGCCCCAAGCTTACACGATGTTGACCTTCTCCTTTCCCTCGTAGGTTTGCCTAAGACCACCGAACTTAGGTCGCTGGACGGGGACAAGGATACGTCCTTACCCATCGAACCCTCCATTTTGGGACAGCCCGGGGCTGCTGCGGAGGAGAAGATAAGGATAAGAAAATCTCTTGTTCCCTGGGTCCCGAGGTGAATATAAAACAGAGGGCGGCCACCTAGGCTCGTAAGCCCAAGAAGAATCCTAAGTCCAGGTATCAGACTCTGACTTGCTTCACCGGATCAGGGATGAGCCCGAAGAAGACGACATCTTTGTCACCCATCGATCGACCCCTGCCGGGGAGCAGGCGACGATCGAAGAAAGGGGCCACAAGGCCGATCCTTTTTCGATTCGAGAGGCCGAAGGTGGATATGGGGGTCGTGAATTCCCAAGAAGTCGTTCCTGTTCTAAAGGAGGTGACCAGTGTGATAGACATCATAGAGATGCCCTCCTATACCGAGTCCATGCTTGAAGAGGCCCAAGCAGGTAAGGAAAAGTCAAGTGAATGAGTTCAGGGTGCAGATGATCCTCTCCACTCCTTCTTCGACAACATGGTCATGTCCACATTGGAAGATTTATCCGAGTTGGGTCACCTGGAGATCCCAAAGAAGGACGTGCCTTTGGGAGCTGACAGGCCGAGTACGAGCCCAAGGTTGGTAAAGTAATTCCCTGCGCCAAGCATGGACCTCGAGCGCAAGAGGACGGTTGTTTTAACATTCCCGGAGGATGCCCGGACATTGTCTGCTCCGTTAGGTGTGGCCAGCTACCTCCGATGCCTGGTGACCGAGGAGGACCAGGCAAAGATGAACGAGATGGGCACGTCAAGTCTCTTTAACGAGGCGCAACATGCGTTAAATTGAGTAAGGTTCTAACACTTTCATACTCCCTTCATGAATCCCGCTTAAGTTTTCCCTTGATGCTTTTTACTAGTTCCACTGTTTTACAGGCATTAGTGCTTCATCATGAAAGCTTCCTCCAGTACCGCTTGGAAATCAGCCAGCTCGAGTTCGAGCTCAATGAACAAGTCCAGAAAAAGGACATGTACAGGATTCTTAGTGAAAAACAGGATGATCCCTTAAAGACCTCCAGATCGCGCTAGACAAAGCTCAGAAGGATGCCTCAATCCTAAAGCGGGAAAATGCTGTCCTGGTTGAAAAGGTAAAGGTCTTTGAAGCTAAAAATGAGGATCTAGCCGTGGTGACTAACAACACAACCTCGTAAGTCCAACAGAAGATCGACCTGATCGACCAGATCCTAGCCGAGATGAACGAGGTTAAGGCCATGGCCGAAGTGTGGAAAGGCAGGATAGACCTGCTGGCTTTAGAGAAGGAAACTGCTAAGGCAGAGCTGGCATCGGTTGAGAACCAACTCTAGGTGGAAAAGGACAATGCCGATAAGTGGTCTCAGTTGAATGATGATCTTCGAGCACAGCTGAGCTCAGCTGTCGCAGAACGGGATGCCCTTAGAAGAGAATACGAGACACTGAAGTCCAAATTGGACACAACCTCTGCTGATGCCGAGGAAATGGTGGCCCAGTACAAGGCCGATGTGGAGGCAGCTGAGACTCGCCTAAAGATAAAGGCTGAATACATGAGGCAATTATCTCGAAGAGATCACACTCGAGGCTTCGACTTATCGGCCGAGATCGAGGAAGCTAAGAAGCTCGAGGCTGAGGCAAAGGAGCTTTATGAGCTTGAGGGGGCCGAAGGCTCCGAGGGATCTGAGAGCTCCGACGGTTCTGGTGACGAGTCGGTGCCCTGGTGAAGACCAGGCATAGATACCTCAGTACCTTTTTTGTTTTCCCTTATGTATATATATATATATATTTTTTCATGTTGGGGCCGTTTTACTGGGCCTTTGTAAATATATTTTGGAATATATATGAAATTTTTCCCTTTCTGGCAATATCGTATCTTTACTTTTCCAGCATCTTTTATTCGTGTATTGTTTTTGGTGCCTAAGCATAGAATCAGATGTAGTTCTGAGGTATTCATTTTTTGAAAGTTCGATCGAAGCCCGACTTTGATGCAACTTGGTTTGCTTGTGGCTTCAAAACCTCGGTGCGACCGGAGGTTCCCAAGATGCTTAAGTGTTTTTAGACGATGCTTTTGCCGAGGGTAACCTTTTAGTAGGTTTTGAGTTTTTTAAAGGCCTTACTTTCTTATTATGAACTTCGGACGTCTCCGAGCCATTTCTAGGGCGGCCGTAGACTTTTATTTTTGGGCACCGCCTAATAGATTTGGTGCCTCCGGCATTAGCCCGGATTATCCGAATTTTCTTCGGGCGGCAGTCCTTGAATAAGGATAGCCTTTGAGATCGGTAGTCCCCAAGAAGGGGTAGCCTCTAGTCTCGATAGTCCCTGAATAGAGGTAGCCCGTAGGCTTTAGGATCCGGAATCGAAGAAGCAAAA